GCGGAGGGGTTGAGGGATATTACGAAGGGTCTAGGTGCTGTCAGTGCGACTCGCCTTCTAGGATGGAGACCGTGTGATGTCCACCTTGCCCGGTTGGATACGCTACAAAATATGGATGCTAGTCGACGTCAGTGGCGTTCTTGTTGTCAGTTTCTGTCCAAATTTCCTCTGGAGGTGTGTGCACCTCGGAATTGCTGTGGTAGGCTAGCGGTGGGTTTCTTCCCGTTCCACCTTTATTCTTTTGTTTACAATGAGGCTTTCAAATAAATCTTGGTTGTACAGTAGCGAAGCACCGGTGTTGAACACTGGTATGCTATCGATGATGATGGTGATGCAAAATCCCAACAACCACGTGCTCACGGGGTATTGAATCAATCGAACCCGCAGTAAATCAGGGAAAACACCTATGGAACACAGCTCACTGTTTTCCGATTATTGAAAAATAGTCTGGAATGTTCTCTTTTCACTCCTAGGAAAGACTAGCATCTTAAGTTCTGCTCAAAATGAGTTTCAATCAGGAAGCTCGTGTGTTAGTAATCTGTTGGCTGCCCGCCACCCCTTGGCGAAGAGTATAGATGATGGACAACGAGTAGGTGTCATTACGATAGATTTCAGCAAGGCATTTGATCGAGTACTTCATTACAAACTACTTAAAAGGTTGTGCGAGTATGGCGTTGGCGGGACTCTTGCTTTTTACACTCATCCGTTCGTAGGAGATGCTGAAAAGTTTGAGGAAACGAACACTACCCCAACTGACATCCAGCTTCAAGTGGTGTTCCACAAGGGACTATACTTGGACCACTACTCTTGCTCATTCATATTAATGACATGAAATCCTCGTGTTCTGTTTGCTGACGAGAGGGAACCATTCAAAATTCAGATTACTAACAGATGTTAAATCTAGAACTACAGATGATTTCAAAATGGTCTGTTGAAAGGAATCTGCCAATAAATCCGGGTAAATCTGATTTCTTGCTTTAGGAAAGCCCACATTTCACCGCACTTGTCGTCTAAACGGATAGGAGTTACGTTCGAACACTAATACCAAGGACCTCGGCNTCTACTCCGTTCCATTTAAAAACGAGGGACCGCCTACCACAAATTCCTGCGCATATAATGGGCACTGAAGAGTAGTTTCTCTGTGTGAAGGGAGCAATTGTTCATTGTTATCTACACGGTCTTAGTTCGACGAGTATTGGGATACGGTGCATCAGTGTACCTGGCCTCATCCAGGGACGAGACACACAAGTTGGAAAAAGTGCAGCGAATAGCCACGAGGATGATATAGCAACTACGACGTACACCATAACAGGACAGATGTAGGAACCTGAATTTGTACACACTAGAATATAGATCAATTAGGATTGACCTAATTTATGCCTTACGTGTCGTATGCCTGGGACATTATCCTCATCATCGGCTCCTGTTCCATGTACAGGAAAACACTAATACTGGGGGACACTCATTCAAGCGTATCGCGATGACTGCCAGTTTCACAGTCTTACCTATTCGGAATTGATTACCACGTACAATTGTTAACTCTACTACACTATTTATACTATTCACCAGAGGGGAGCGTTTGGACCGTTGGGCACAGTATTTTGAAAAACAATTCAGTTGGCCACCTGTTACCTCAAATATGAACCCTCAACTTTCAATAATCGTTCAGCTGTTATACCCTTTCGGTGCCTAGCTCCCCTGCCACCAGAAGGAGGCTCGAGGGCTGAGATATTGTCAGGTTGTCCAAGCTTAGACAGGAGCAGTCAAGATGCTGAATTTGGGTTTGAACCACGAACCTTCTGGTCAGTAGGTTGGTGCCTTAACGACTGAGCTATCTCGAGGATGGACTGTGACCATACAGCCCCGTCACTCTCAGCAGTGTCCGAATGTATATCTTCACTTAAGCGTCATCATCCTGCTGGCCCAGGCGACCTTCCACCTGCTGTGTTTAAGGATGACGGTGAACCCCCTAGCCAGTACCTTCCTTGCCTATTTGCGTCTGTCGGGGAGAACGAGACACAACTGGACTGGATCGATAATATTGCCCACTTCTGAAATCGTTGGTTGCATTGAATATAGCAACGACAGGGGTGTGATTTTACTACCTTTTGGTGAGGCCAGATAGCGTCGTTGAATCTCCGTTATCTTACGAATCCTCGACCCGTGAGCACCAAGCTGGTTTCCGACCGGGTAGAGGCTGCACTGACCACATCTTTACACTCCGTCACGTGTGTTAGAGTGACGCTATTTGCACAAACAACCCACAATCTTGATGTCCTTTAATTTAAAGGGTGTGTTCGATTCTGTCGATTGGTCGGTACTGCTAACCACACTTGCTCAACAGAGTGTGCCCCAGAAGTGAGCACCAAGTTTCCGACCGGGTAGAGGCTGCACTGACCACATCTTTACACTCCGTCACGTGTGTTAGAGTGACGCTATTTGCACAAACAACCCACAATCTTGATGTCCTTTAATTTAAAGGGTGTGTTCGATTCTGTCGATTGGTCGGTACTGCTAACCACACTTGCTCAACAGAGTGTGCCCCAGAAGTTTGTGAACGTAATCCAGGCCCTATATTCACATACATCGACATGTGAGAATGTATGGTGGGCTCCGTAAAAACTTCCCTAAAAGTGGTGTCAGACAAGGATGTCCACCCTCTCCCTTCTGGTTCAAATTCGTCATTGATGAAATCATGAGGCGAATACTGGACGGTCTTCAAAAATCCGATGTTCAAATTGTTGCTGGTGAGGGCCCTGTCGATTTGGAGTACGCAGACGACATGGCCTTTATCTTTGAAGACCAAAGTGAAGCACAAGCCCTTTCGAATAATCTGGCCACCATCATACCATCTTTCGGCATGCGCGTAGCACCTCCAAAGTGTAAAGTCGTGCTCCAGAACATGCAGTATCTGAACATATCCCTTACAATTCAAGTAGAATCACTGCATGCTGTGGAGAATTTTACATACCTGGGTAGTTGTATTAGCTCTGATGGAATTGTCATGAAGTCAGTGCACGAATCTCAAAGACTCGAACCACATTTGCTAATTTGCGTCGCTTGCGGCGTCAAAGTCGCACTTCACTGAGCATCAAAAATCGCGTGTAACAGGCTACAGGAGGGGCCATATTTTGTCGTAGTTGCAAGTTATGTTGTCTATGGACGGGTGATGTTAGGCGTCTTCAGATTTTTGGCCACCGATGCCTCAGAAGCGTTGCTGGTTTTAGATGGCGTCAACGAATTCATAACGAGATAATTATAAAACGGGTATTTGGCTGTTCAGCAGGTATGTCAGCCGCGGAAAGTATCCAGCACCATCAGCTGCGGTGGCTCGGTCGTGTGCTACTCATATCGAATCACAGTCTATCAAACTAGTGCTGTAATGTGTGTCTCCTTCATGAGGGCGTGAACCGCAAGATGGAAACTGCATAACTTTCTGGGATATGATGTTCTCTGAATGCCCAGGAATACCCTTCAAACGTGGAAGTCAGCGCGTTTTGGGCCGCTCTAAGCCGTATCCGTTCATCCTGCAATCCTGGCAGCCTGCCTGTACCAGGGATGAATCACTAGCCTTGAAAGTGGTACAGTGTCTAGGAGCACGAATGAGTACGGAAACAACAGAGTATATGTGCGGGCAAGAATACTAAACCCTGCGCGCTTCATCACAGGTGACTCAAAGTGGGCTTATTTTTCAACTCCAAAGTAGTAGGATACATGAGGCGCCCAGAGCTTCTGTACTTGTTCCCATCAGCACACTTCATACACGAGATGGAATGAATACAAGCTCCAAATGCAGTGAACATTTACCCTAAATCACTATCAAACCACATAACAGCGGGATGGAACAGAACTACTGCACAGTTGTTCCAGGCTCACACTGTTCAAAGTTTCAAGCGCCTGTCCGACCAGCACTTTATGAGAGGTACTACTGAGAAGATGCCGAGACCAGAAACTCGGAGCAAGTAGCTCGATTACCGTGAAGGGGAAAACGGGACAACTCGCCATCCTGCACAAAAACCAAGGAGGTATCTTCCACCCGCAGTGAAAATGAAGGAATCAGTTCCACCTTGGGAACTTTGCAATATCAATATTGTAGCCAGTGGACTCACATCAGCAATCAGCCTGAGCTGGGTGAGGGTCAAAACTGTGGGTGTGTACTGTTTCGCCCAACATACTCCGGCGGCACATCTCCATTTAAATAGGGTTACCTGGCTGCCTCTTGACTTTCACATCCGAGACGAGCATTGCGTTATCAGCCTGGAAGGCCTGTAGTTCAAACCCGACCTCTGCCTCTCGACTTCCCCTGTCTAAGCTTGGGAAACCTGGCAGTATCCCAGCCCTCGTGCTTCCCTCCGGTGGCATGGCAGCTAGGCACCGAAAGGGTGTTACAGCTGTGCAGTTTTTTCCTAACATTTTCTGAATGTGTGGATAGGCTAGACGTGAAGTCCTGAGGATTTCGGGGTTGTGTAAACCGTAAGGTACGCACAGGTTCTCTATACTTTAAATCAAGTCTGTTCAAACATTCAGTTCAATTTAGATATGGCTGCCAACACAACGCCCTTTTTGATGTGAAAGTCAAGAGACTGTTGGATGGGTCCATCTAAAAGTGTCATATCGCACGAAGGCGTCAGCAGGGCAGTACAACCGCTCTCAACTTCATTCCTCTAAGTGAAAAATGCAGCTTCATCGGGGCACGAGCAATGTGCGCGCCGGACACGTTGGAGAGCGAAATGCAAAGTATCCGCAAAAAGTTTCCGTCAACAATGGGTAGTCGTTCAGTTGTAACAGCTTGATATATCCATCCTTAGTTTCTTCATGCAACCTTATCATAACAGTCACTTAGGAGCTCCCGTTCGTGGGGATCATTCACAGTAACTGGGCTACTGGAACCACACGTATGTCCAATCAGCTTCGAAGCCTGTTGTAAGCTACCTTTGTGTTTTCACTCATTCATGCTGCACAACGTTGTGTAAGTCGACCTGCCTTCCGACATTTCTCTTCTTTTTTAGACGCGTACTTCATGGCGCAAACAGCCCTTTCAGCCGAGGAGTTCCAGCGTTTCCAGTCCCAGCTGTTAGACTTGAGAGAAGCGAATATTGAAGCCAATGAACGTCGCCTACGTGCTGAGGCCCGCGTCCGACAGTTAGAATCTGAGCTGTTGTCTGCACAAAAATTCGCCGACTCTCACAATCATGACCGAACACGAATGGAAGAGATGGAACGAGAAAACAAACACCTCCGAGAAAAAATTCAAGGCACCGAAGCCGCTTTCCAACTTCAGTCTTCAACTCTACGTGCCGAATGTCATCATCTGACGGCTGAATTGACTAAGTTACAGCAGAGTCTGAACAAACCACGTCAAACTCAAGGCTGTCAAACAATTTCCGTACCTTTGACCAGCGTCTCCGCTCAAACAATTGATCGACTTTCGGATGCGCTTGATTCGGAACCGCTTTCTCTACAAGAAGTAGCTGAACTGCGAACAGCCTTGGATATTTCGAATGCCTCGCAAGCAATTTACCGCTTGGCGACCCAGACATTGAGCGATAAACTGTCCGAACTGGAGGCTATGGTTTGTGGGGATGTTGCCCGTCTTCATGCTCAGCTTGGTGAAATGCGATTGGAGCGCGCTTGCTTACTTGATAAGCTTGACCAAGCACACCATTTTGTAAAAGAAGCTGAAGATGCTCAGCGGGAACTGCGTACTCAGCTTGAACTGCAGCGAATCCGCGGAGAAAAGGTCCATCGCGAACTTCGGCGTCAGCTGACTCGTCTTGTTAGATCGCATCAACTAGAATCTGCGGAGCAGTCGTCATTACGAAAATCCTCTATTTATTCTTCCTCTTCTTCACTGTCCAGTGCTGTAACTCCGATACCTGGCGCATCACTAACCAATGGCGAGTGTAGTTCACTTCATCCGGAGACTCCGCCACCACTTGATACGTCTGAAGCTAAACGCTTGGAGGTCCCTCCTGGATTTTTCTCGTTAGCGGATTTCAAGGTGAGTCTTATAATTCAGTTGTTGGGTCTGTGATTCGAACCCGACCCCTGCATCTCGACCTCTGTCTGGGCTTGGGCAACCTGTCGTGATTACTTCAGGTGGCATGGCAGCTAGGCACCGAAAGGGTGTTACAACTGAACGATTATCTTATTATCTTGCCGCAGCAGTTCCATGACAATACTGGTGCAACTAGTCTTAGAAGTCTTCGTTTCCAAATTAACATTACGTTCTTCTATGTTGGACTGTCTGGACCATGGGCTCCAAACTGCGGTGCACGAGCTAAATCCATCTGGTTGGCTGTTACCTAAAAGCCGATTTTTCCACAAAACATCGGACCGTTGAACACAGTACTATCGGTCTGAGACGTGTGTTCAGCTCAGAGGTGAAGAAAATGTATCGTATAATTTGATTGCACCATTGTAACAAACTATTCGATTCGGCAAGGAGCTAACTGTATGACGGGCCTTTTACATCACAATTGAATTTTGGAAAACGTGGCCACTACTTGGGTTAACTACTGCGAAAATGTTTGTTAACTGAACGATGGAAACGAGGACATCTTTACGGACTATATGGTATTGTTGGTAATTTGTTGGAATTGTGTGTCTTGTGTCTTGCGCAAGCTCATTTACTTCAGTGTCAGTATTTGGTAGGACATTTGCTCGGGAAAAAACAAATTAACGAATCTATACCAGCTGGATTTCAATGGCCCCCATGTGTTGATTACCTCACAACATGTACTGCTAGTTCGTGTGTTGTTTTGCAGAACAGGCATTCGTTCGTAGCATGTGTGAAACGACGTAAAAGCACAGCAAACCCAGCTTGATTGAAATGCAATTTGAAATACTTCGATTTACTGTCTTGTGTTTGTGGATGTCGGTAGTTTCTTTGCATGCAGCTTGAGGCATCAAGTTTGTTATGTTGGTTTGAAGTTAATCTGAATTGCACCGAGTTTTCCAAGGTTTCCATGAACGTGTTTTTCGATGCTTTTCCAGTTATGCATACATTGCCTCGATGTCCACCACCCGTCACATCAGCTTCATTTCATCACAAGACCGCATGCATCAGTATGCTTTGTCGCGAAATTGACTTAGTTCTGACAAGAATTTTTACCTGACTTATTATACATTCTCCGTATCTGTTTTGGCCTCACTCCTCATCCATACTGAATAAAGATCGCGGTAAACCAAGGCGTACTGGCCCCAGGCTTTTTATAGAGCTGTGTTGCTTTTGGTCCAGTCCGATATAGCAAGCTTCATCAAAACCTCGGATTGGCCGACTTTTTAATACGCGCAAGTGTGGTTTACGGGGGAATTCAAGATCCGTATTCAGAGGATAGACATCAAATAGAAAAGTCAGTGAAGCATAGAAAACTAACTCACCATCATCGTCATCGTCGACAGCATGACGTCATTGTTCAACCTACCGTTCACAACATTAGTGTGTCATGGAGGTTTGGACTGATGAAAGTTGCTCGTGAGTTCAGTAGAACGAAAAGCTTAGCGAATTCAACGATCATCACAAGCAGGATAGTTGCTAAATTACCAATTCAGGTGTCGGACAAACCAGCCATATGGGCTGAAGTGCGAGCATGTTCGTCGTATATGGTGATTAAGGTGCCTTGGAGTGCGCTCTTAGGGTAATGGTGACTCGTTTGCATCAAATATCGGATAGGTGAAACTAATCCCGGCACAGCTATTGTTGCTCTCTGACAGAAGCGAAACTCGAGTCCCACACATTCCTCCTTCAATGTAAATTAACCAGAATAATTGCGTCCGGATCGGAGAAGAACTGATCAATATTAAGTGATATGTACACAAATTCTGCAAGTGAACATTAGTCCCATTGTTGAGAATTTAAAGGCGATAAGAATTCAGGAAAACAGGAAGTGGCACAGGAATCCTGATGTGACCTCTTATTTTTAACCTCTTATTTCTAAAAAGACTAAAGGTCTTGATGGAGTTTATATCAGAGGAAAACGAATAAGGCTGTTTCAAAATTCAAGCTGATAAACGCCGCAGCCCAATTAAGTAGCAATACTCAGTTATAATGGAAGAAGGTTTTTAGAGGATACACCCAAACTATGGATGTTCGTTTAGAGATATCCCTCCCAACACCTCCGTTTTGAACCTAGAGATCATGGGACTAACTTTGTGGATTCGCCTGCGTCAGTGTATTCTGACTTCGAATTGAATCAATCCACACACTGGGTGTAAACATGGTTGAAGCATCCGGAACGAAACTTGATTTAAACGACTCAGTTCCCGACGAAGTTAAAATATATCCAACCAAACAAGTGACAAAACTGAAGCACGTGTATACACCACAAGAGTAGTACCTCCGGCATTTACTATAGGCATCTACTGGATGTAAGTAATGTTGCCCATTGATCAGACGCGCGAAGTCAACATGAAGTCGTGACCATGAGGCTTCTGATGCAAGTCGTGAACACAAATTTCCTTTTTCTGGGTGAGATCTAAATAATAGTAATCGTTCAGGGACAACACCATTTTGATGTCCAGCTGCCATTCCACCCGAAGGAGGCACGAGGGCTGGACGAATTTCCTCAGCTGTTTATCTTATTCAGCCACCGAACGTATCTGTGAAAAAGGTCCAGGGATGTTTTGTAGTTTCAAGGGCACATTTACACGTCCGGCCTCAGTAACGACTAAAGTTGACCATTGGAACTAGTTGGTGGCTAGTGTATACGGTGGAAATGGATCATCTTTTAAAGTAAGGGCACTCCCACTGTAGCGTCACGAAGCACAGCAGAAGTGACTGGAAGTTCCCAACTTGCGACAGCTAGCACAGTGTGGACTTCTGACTTCACTGTTGCCGATACGATGACTGTCCTCGGGTTCTCTACACTTGGAATCCACTACTCTTGATGTCCCGTTAGTCTTAAGTATTGACTAATATTAGTAAGTGATGTTAAGTATGTCAGAATCAAGTAATGCTTTGTCAACTGCGGACGCATTTGCGTAACCAGTCCCATAACACTTCTCTTTTCAATATATCTCCTGACAAATGTAACATACTGAAAAAAGATCATAGGTTTAATAGATCCGTCATGACTGGTACTTGTTTTATAGTGAATTTATTTCCTGGGTCAGGGTGACGGTCGTTTCCAGTGACAAGAAATTCAAGGTATTTCTGGGAAAGTTGAAAAAATGCACATTTATCTGCACGGAGATGGAAAACATAACCCTGAACTCGATCGATGATACGAATAAACGATTATGAAGTTCATCCTGAGTAGGATCGGTGACAGCGATGTCATCTAAAAAGCGACTGCCCCGTATTAGCTGATCGACACTACATCCGTTATTTTCTGGAACTGGTGCTAACTCTATACCGAACCTTAGGCGATCAAATTGGGGTAAACCGTGGTATGTTTTGATTGTCAACAGCTCTTTGCAATCATTTGAGACAGTTTGGAAGCACGGCCCACACGACCAACATGCAGTCGACGGACTCCTTTCATAAACGCACTTGTCTTAATCCTCAACTCGGAAGACCAGGAGACTACGTTTGTTCTCAACCGTTGACCAGTCTGGTAAGGAGGACTCTGTGGATACTGCATGGACATCCCCTTGTGTAACGCAATAAGTTTCTGAGATAAAATAAGGTCCGACTACTTCTCAACGGTAAATTCCAGATGCTTCCATCCAGGACAAATCGTGGACTTTGCTACGGAACTTGAAAACTTCGTGTTGCATATGTCTTCATTTCCTAAGCGTGTTCACATTGTGAATGCGCGTGCTCGCTCTGAGATTGTTTCGTGCGACAACGTACTGTGGTGCAATTCTTGCCGTTCTGTGCGTCAATGCGTACAAATAGCCTGTCGAACTGTTGAAATTTCCGTCCTCAAAATGTTATGTCAAACTGCTTGTTCGTTCGTAGACTAGACTGAGGACGCAATGAATTTGCCAGTGAAGGTCTAAAAAATACCTGTCCTTAAGTTGGATATGTAGCTGATCGGCGGGTATGAATTCCTAGAACATCTCGGATTTCGGAGACGGATTAAGTGTGCGAGCTAATCTCCGAAACAGAAGCCTCCCCGGAAAAAGTGCAGCATTTTCTTTCGCATGTGTAACACCCGTGCATTTTATCCGCAAAACAGTGCCAATCGCACTGCGCTTGCATGCGTGGAACCCCGCCTGGTCCAAACCCCGTGGTCCCAAAAACTGACCGATCAATGGTGCGTGTTTTTTATCGCAAAGCATACACCAAGTTACATTCCGGTATTCTACGCGGTTCATTCTTAGTCGTTCAATCTCGACCAGGTCCTTCACTCTATCATGGCTTGTCTGCGTGTTCACCAAACTATAGGTTTTCTTTCTGTGTTGAACGACAAGTGACCTGGAGTGTTTTGATCACGTGGTAGAGTCAGCGAATCTTGAAAGCATCACGGCTAGAAGTGATTGAAAATTGAAGTGGCGTTCCACCGTTTAGGATGCTGTGTATCGTCCACAAAAAATTCCCCTTGCGCTTTTTTCATTAACTTCCGTACTACTCAAGTTGTTTTAGGGTAATTATATTCACTTAATGATGAGAACCGTATGCGTTTGTTTTGAACTTGAATCATTAGTCCACTACTGACCCGTAATGGTGGCCGACTTTGGTGCGCAGTCCTCGGAATTCTAACTGTTTGTCCCCTTGTTCTACCATGAAAGTACATCTGGATTCATGTTGTTGCTGGTTTCCATTCCGTGAAGTGATCTGTTCGGGTATATGGTACGCCGTGACATTTAATGTTTGGCTGGCTTGGAGCCCAATAGTCTTCGAGCTAATCCAACACCTTCTCTTCATATCTAAATTGGCGGGCTTGTGGGCGCTGCGTTATCCAATGCCTCACATCCTACCAGAACTTCTGTAGTTTGTTGGGTCACTTAGTCTCCTTGTTACCGCTGATACCTTGTGACCTTCGAACACCCTTTGATTGGATCATAACTTTGTGTGTTCCTCAGCAATCCTTTCCCTGATGAACTACACCAAGAGGATTAACCACTGGCTCGCACATGGTGGTGGGTTGCCTCTTCGTATGGTGATTCAAACGGCGTCTTGTCGGGTACCTGGCATCTCCAGGTCCACCCTTATTACGCTGGGTAGCATGCTCCTTAATTACGCTTCTTTGGTATGTTGAATCGGGTTCAATACGTCTGAATCCTCTTCTCTAACCCAGGTTACAGGGTACTTTCCTGTCATACCGTCTAGCATCACTACCCCGTTCAAGGTCTTATGGTAGCAAGGAACCAAGCCCATTTGGTCTAAAGAAAATGTGGTCACTCATTTTGTTGAGCACAATGGTCAAGTTCTTTGGCCCTTCGAGCAAATTGTTAATCGAATTCCAATACATTGACACTGGTTAAGTTTGATTTCAGAGGTTGTCAATGGATTCTGGGTGCCTTTATTGATTACTTACCTCCTTTTTCTTGTTGGTCGGGTATCAGTTCATATTCCATGGTCCATCGTTTATCGAATTTGGACTTCCCTGACAGTCACATCGCAGGACCTGTCACGCCAGCACTTCCCTTGTCACAGTACCACGTCAGTTACCACAAACTGTATGTGTGTTTATTAGGCCGATTAACCCAGCAGCGCCACTGCAGTTGGCTGCACAGTACTATTGAGTGCGATGGCTTCAGACCCGTCTACACAGTTCGGAAGCGGAGCTAACAGGGTAGAGAAATATCCTAGCTCACCTCATGCCGTTGCTCGATGGACCAAAATGTATAGGCGTCACACTCGATAATGGCTTGACGTTGGTGTCTACGTGATACGGATCTAAGGGCAGTTGGTGTGAACCGAACAGTACCTGGGTGACTGTGATTTAAGTGTACGCGGTGTCTAGCTACACAATCGCAACTAGTTTTGGGTTAAATGGTAAAGTAAACTATTCTGGCAGATTTCCCTCGACCCATACTAATCTATTTTCCCGTATATTTTGACCAATAGCGTACGCGCAACTTGAGATAGGGAGATCATATTTTCTCGCCATCATAATCGTCGTCAGCATAACATAACTGTTTGACATTGATACTCCGCTGCCGTTCAGTCATTATTTATTTGAAAGCCTTATTTTGAAAAAAGTGGACGGAGAAGGGACTCAGTACTAGTCTACCACAATCATCCCGAGGTGCCTACACCTCCAGACACTCATTGAGGAAATCTGGACAGAAACTGACAACAAGAACGCCACTGACGTCGACTAGCATCCATATTTTGTAGCGTATCCAACCGGGCAAGGTGGACATCACACGGTCTCCATCCTAGAAGGCGAGTCGCACTGACAGCACCTAGACCCTTCGTAATATCCCTCAACCCCTCCGCCAGATCAAAGATTGGCCACTGCTCTGCTTCCGCCACTCTGAATTGGGCACGAAAACAGCACCCTCTTCGGCCAACGGTGTCTCAGCGTGCGCGAAACATAGCCTAACCAACGCAGCTTCTGGTGCTGGACAGATTATTTGATGGAAGTCCCCGTTGCACAACCGAAAACCCGCTTTTTAATTGCCGAGTTACGGATTCGTCAACACCAACCCACATGAGCTATGGTTCTGAGACAACGGTTGTCGAACACTTGAAGACGTCTAAGTTCCGCTATTCAGACACGCCAAGTCTCACAGCCATACAACAAAACAGCCCTCACTGTAGCTTGATACCTACTTCCCTTAGGATTCAGGGACATACCATTTGACGCCATACATGTCACAAATTAGCAAATGCGACCCGATCCTTAGAGATCCGTGCAATGACCATCTGTCACACTACAATCAGAACCAATACAACTTCCAAGATGCACAAAACGCTCCACAACCTCGAGCGCCTCTCCCCCGATTGTAATTGACGAGTTCGGTGACTGCATGTCCAGCAGCATAACCCTGCAGTTTGTGGGTATAAGATGCACACCGAAGGACGGAATGGCTTTGGTCAGTTCATCCAAGAACATCTGCGCCTTCTTCTCTTCAAAGACGAGAACGATATTGCCCGCATACTCCAGATCGAAAAGGCTTTCGTCATAGACTGTTTGAATACCGGGGTTTTGGAGAACTTCGGGCGTTCGTCTCATGATCTCGCCCACCACGAAGTTGAATAGAAACGGAGAGAGTAGACAACCCTGACGGACACCACTTTGTGTACGGGGGCTTTTTTAGAGCTCACCGTGTACCCTTGCACGTCCGAAAGTCTGGAACTACAAAGAACTTATTATGTTCAAGAATTTCCGAGTCATTCCTTGGTGGACAATCGTGTCAAGACCGACCAACCGGTTCGAATGCGCCTTGGAAATCTAGGAATACTAGAATTGTGGGTCGCTTATACGTATGGCGTTGTTCTAGCACCTGACGGACAGTGAAGGTTTGCTCAACACAACACCTACCATGCCGGAATCCCGCATGCCGCTCTCGCGTCAATGTTCCCCGAGTAACCATAGGTCGATGAAGCAACAGTGACGCCAACAGTCTTGTTACGACAGGGGTCAAGCCAATCCTCCTGTGGTTGCGAGCCCCATTTTGGAAATGCACACTTTGACCGACTCTCCACGGCCGTCTGGAGCATACTCCTTTTCCTAAATACAAGTAAACAGATCGAACCAGCACTGACTGCAGTCCTCATGGTGACTTCACTTCCATCTCTGAACGGTGTGGGTGGGACGTCATCCGGACCAAAAGTTGGGTGGCGCTTGAGGAAACATATGCAGTCGTAAACCTCCGAGAGCGTAAGTGATTTCACATTCACCGCCCAGGATTATATGTCAACTGGGGGCTCCAGATGAGTGGCAGATGGTGGCCAGGACAATTGTTGTTCCAAGTATTTAGTCTAGTGTTCGAAGCGTTCTTGATTCAGGACGGTCAGTGCACTCCGATCCTTGTTGGTTTGGCTCAAGGTGGTTTTCGGGGACCGGTCGCACGGTCAGCTGAAGTGATTTTCGGAAATTCCCGGCTTTCTCTGCCTCTTCCCTTTCCTTAGACTTCCGAGTCCACCAAACTTCACGGTCGGCTTCGGAATTACAATTGGTTGGAGCACAAGCAGACAGGACAAACACACAACGATCAACTTGCCGCTTATGAGACTTCACAGATGTTACCAGACGAACCGCATACTGGTATCCCGTCCAGCAAGGATTATTTCGCCCTGTGACTTAGGACGATACCAACACCCGAACATCCTGCTGCAGCGACTTCGGGATCACCAGAGGTGCACTGCCGGAAGTAAGCAGAGAGTGATGGGGCGGTCAGCTCACCCACTGTGCTTGTATCTTGAATTCTTGTTTCTGATACACAGCACACATCAATAACAAGCGAGTTCGGTGTGAGAGCAAGAGCAGCTTGTTGTCTTGCTTGGTTCAGAGTGCGAATATTGATAGCATACAGGTAGGCCGGGCGTCGAGCAGCTTGAGGATGACTAGCAGATGTTGCAAAACCGATGCAGGACTAACGGGGTCAACATTCTCAGCAGACGGGCCCATAAGGAGAGAGTTATTAATGGGGTAGAGAGAGGGGAAGAAAAATTATGTGAAAGAGAAAGAATGGGGGGTCAGCATTAGCTTGTTTTCGCTTACCCGCCATGCAGCAAGTAAGGTGATCCGGCTTTTGACACTGTAAGATAGCCGATGTGGCATGAGATTATTTGTAAGTGTGCAATTCATTATTGTACGTGGGCCGAGGTACTGCCCGGGCGCCCAGGCCTAGACAGGAGGACGATTAGGGTTCTCGACCACAGACTGCCTCAAAAGCCTGACCACAATGCAGCGCTGTTAGGCGGAGAATTCAGACGTGATTCCATTTTTGGGAAACAAGTCGGTACAAAGGTGCCAACCCCTAACCTGGATAGCCGGGAGACTGTGTAAGTTGGACCTCAAACCATTGAGCAACCTGGTATCAGTGACTGAGTGTCGCGCGGACTCAAAATAGTTCTTTTAGCCAAGCTTGTGTACACATTTTGGGGATGACCATTCGCTTTGAAAATTTTTCTGAAAACTCTTTTAGGAACTGTTCTCCTACCCAGATTTTTCTACTTACTACTTTGTCACATCAATTTTGTTTCAGGCCTTGGTCGACCGGTTGTCCGAGGTACAAGAAGAAAACTGTGTGTTTCGACGACACATCCAACGTCTCGAATCTGAGGTTGTTTCGAAGAGCAAAGCACTTCAGATGGAATTGGACAAGTGCATTCACGGTTCATCAAGTTCCCCCAGTTTCTGTAGCCCTGTCTCCACAGCTAGATTTGATCCCACACATCACTCCGTTGGTCCGCACCCGATTGGCAACTCCTTCTCATGGTTTTCCTCGCTAAAGTCTGCTGTGGCTCCTGGGTTGACTACAAATCAGCATGGCATATCCAGCACACATTTGGAGAGCATTAATCGGTTGAAAAGAATGTGTGAACAACTCGTCACTGAAAATGTCCAGCTCACTGAGGAGCTGGAAAAGCTGCGGGCCAAAGCGTGACCTCTTCATCGCAGGCTCCGATCAGACGATCTGTGATACTCTTCTAATCATTCCAAATGCTCTCGGTCCAATTTGATACTGTTCGCTCAGCGCGCATATCGCATTTGGTCTACACATGTGTACGTCCCGGTTCTATCCATTATCTTGGCTTACTTCGTGAAAGTGCTTTAATTTCTGGAAGTCGTATTGTATAGTTTACCTCAGCCAGTTACTGTCCTTCTTTCCTCCTTTTCGTTTTGGTTCCCCTCAAAATGGCGATTTCTGACGACCTGACCTAACCGGATAGGCGGTTTCTGCGTTGTTCCCATTTCACTGTGATATGTATTTTCATATGGTCTCAGTCACCCTTTTATGATCTCTGCTCTCATGATCTTTCTTGAAGCTCCATGCCACTTACCGATTGCCGGCGCTGCCGTCTGTTATCTACAGTTGAACGTCAGTATACTAATTTTTGACAGACCGACAGCGCAGCTTTTTTCGGTACCCTTTTAACGCTGTCAGAATGATCGAGGCCTTGTTGTACGCAGATTGTCGCTACCTTCTCGTATGAAATAGATGATCTTCTACAGACGTGTGGTTCCAGAATCCGGGCGATTGTATACCCTGTTCACATCTAACACTTGCTGCTGCCGCATGTTTCCACTGCACTGATGTATGGATGGCGTGCTATTGTCCTAGGGTCACGAACTTCGAGAGTACCGCATAAAGTATGCTTTGACATCCAGAATTCACATGTTTGAGTACTTTGCTGTACTCGTTGCATAATTCATCGTCTAGCAGACTCGATCCATCTGTACCAGGCTGATCAATAAGTCCCAGATAGTCAACTATCAAAAGGATGTCATCAACTCATGGGCACAGTTTAACGGCAAAACTAGTAGTTTCTAGGTTGCCTAGCTCGACTTGTTTTATTATCCGAAAATTCAGCGAATCCAATTGATGGCATCGGCAGCCACGCTGTGCGTTCCATCGTGTCGAATTGGTAACGTCCAAGCGTTATGACTCATCCTTTTATATGGTTTGAATGTATCAGAAACCGCACGGTAACAGTTGCGAAGTTTGTTTCAAACATTCACTGGTCTTGCTTCCGTCGTTGTAGCGTCACATGCCGGTCGACTAATTCGGTGACTGTAGAATGGCTTTTTTGAGCTAGTTAGTGTCAGTTCAGATACTAGTACAAAAATTTAGTCCGCTTTACCTTGTACAGCAGTAGTTGAGAGGCATTTTGGATGCCTGTGTGGTAAAGAAAAAAGGAAAGATTATCGTTAAGCTGTAACGCTTTCGGTGCCTAGCTACTGTGCCACCTGGAGGAAGCATGAGTGCTGGGACACTGCTAAGTTACCCAAGCGTAGGCAGGGGAAGTTGAGAGGCAGAGCTCGAATTCGAACCACGGAACTTCCGGTCAGTAAATTCGTGGTCTAACCACTGAGCCATCTCGCCGCGACTGTATGGTCTGTGTGTGTGTGTGTGTGTGTGATATCGTTTCTTTCGATAAACGGATATGCTAGGTCAATAGCAAGCGTTAAAGGTGGGAGGTAATGGGTAAGTGTCTCCCCCCAATCGAAAAGACTAACCTACATCTGGTCACTTTGCTTGCTTATTTCCACACGACCCCCGACTCTTTATTGCGAGCAAAGGCCGAGTCCAGACATACTGAGATCCGATTCGAGTTCCACCAGTGAATCCCATAATCCCCAGTGTTCGAATGCCAGCCGCTCCTAATAACCGAACATCACGTCGATTGAACCGATGTTTCACATGCCGGGTATGGATCAATCGAAGATATGCCTCCCCTCTCGAAGATTCTAGCGCGACTAGTGAAACTTTGTGGTGATCCTATAAGTACAGGTGTAAAGGGCTACCCCAACTTACAGTGCTTTTCGATACACCATAGTGGGCAGAGCAGGAAACGAATGGCCGAAACAGGAGCTGAACCACTGTCAGCAAGACACAATGCCCAATAAGACTGAAGCGTTTCAAATCAATTTTGAATGTCTCCAGTTACCTCTAGAGACAGTGCTGTCACTCTCTAAGTGATGACACGTGGCCCAGCGGATAGGATCGTGGATTACCATTTCGGGTTTGAGCCCCACAAGTATATCTTCAATTCGGTTTCCGGTTTCCCCATCCTAATGATTTGTGCACATCTTGTTTCAGACGTACAATAAACCTCGTTACATACAAATTTGTAGGTCTCTGGTGATACGCAGCTAACACTAGTCACTCCGCCGTTTCAACTTAGTTAATCGTCTGTTTGGCTTTGCTTAATTTCGCAAACTTGAAGGACTGCCATTTATAATCTTGACTGATTGTAAACTGAGCCTTTGTCAGCTCCTAAAGTTGATCCGTACTTTACGGCCAGTCGAAACTATTTATCGATTTCCTTTGTGTGAATGTGTGTCTGATAGATGAGATAAATGACTATGCTGCCGGACCCAGTAGATGTCAGTGATTATGCATCTTGGGTGAGTACAACAGTGTGTTTGTAGTGGATCATCCAGTTCTGTGGAATGGTCGATAACTACAACTACTAGCGGGACAGTGTATACTTCAGTTGATTCTAATCCAACCTGCACCACCAGCAAACTTAAACAGTACACGTAGCCAAAACAAGATCAACAGACGGTACTTCATGACCTGAGGTCACCGTAAAACAATTCTTGTTAAATTTGGAGTTTCCTCTTCCCGATCCTTCCTACTATCAGATGGCCTAGACGTTTACTTTACTGGGATGACCAGCTTCGAGAGATTTCCTTGCCCTGCGTAGCAAAACGCTTGGACATTTAAAAGTGATTTGGGAATAGACGGTAGCCAATAAGGTGAAGTTTCGCTGGCAAATGTTTCCACGATTTTTTTCTGAAATCGCTATTTCGGTTACTCGTTTCTCCAGAATAGTATTATTTCGAACGCTCCTGTCAACCGCTTCATATAAGTAACAAACAACGGGCGTAAACATCAGTCGTCCAACTTCACAGTTCATGTCTAAAGGGAGATCCACGCACCGTGTTGGGATATAAACTCTGTAACTTTGATGCTCGAAGCTGTTGGGTTATCAATCACCTATGCTCGAAAATGTGTTTGGTTACCTGACGCCACGATGTACAATCTGCTGAAGATGTGGTAAAGCCGTGATACCACAAATTTGCTGCCTTCCCGGTGAATTCTAAATTCGAAGAATGTCAGCTTCGGGTTATTTAATGTCCTGTCTTAAGGAATGCCATTATCCTTCGCTGCATGCTCATGTTGGCTAATGTTTTAATGCTCGACGTCGACTACTTACACAGTTTCCAACGCTGTCACGAACAACTATGGAGCGAAGTGCCCTAGTCAAATGCCAGCTAGTCATCACCTAAAGTGGTTTCATCACCTGACGAAACCGGTTGGTCTACACAGAAAATGTATTACCTGCATGGTCCGTTAATATATGTTATTGGTGAAAGATTTGACTGGTTTCCAGGTAGGTGCTGCGCCGCACGTTACGTTCACCACAATCAGAAACCAGGCGGTTTTTTTAGAATGATGTATTGCTTCGAATGAGTTTGCTTGTAAACACTAGGAGCTTTGAGCACTGTCTTAACCACAGTGCGCCTCAAGTCAAGGACGAATAAACCGTTTGCGAACCCACGCAGTGTATAATTCCAGTTCGGAATATTTGACTGGGAAGACGTAAACTGTGGAGTTAAAATTTCCACAAAAATATCCTTTTACCTCAACGTGCAGTCCTTCATTTCTTGCATTCGTCTTTTCTAGGTCAATATATGGGTACTTTTGCTCTCATCAGCGTTGTATAGCCATCGCTTCGCCAAATGCATTCAAATCATGCTTTCTTGAATATTCGTTCCTGGTTGATTCGACTATTCTGGTTGGCCAAAAGAAAAGTACTGGAATCAGACCAGGAGGTCAAGCGGATAATATTGTGAAATAGCATTCCTACGATCCGGATTCCTTCCAGGACAGGTGCCTTCACAGGATATTCTGATGACCTGCGCATCTGTTGTTGCAACACCGATTTACCAGTCGTAGTAGCATTTTGAGTTCCGATCGCCTGACGTGTAAGGCCAATGTGCTACCGGAATTCATTTTTTTTATTCACGAAGTAGACTTCAGCGAAGTGGAGAATCCATGGATGCAAGTCCTCTGAAAAGATAACGAATATGCAGAAAAAGAATAACCAGACCTTTGGACAAGACTAGGACTAGTACTTGCATGTATAACAGGATCGGACAGTTCGTTTTCAACCCGAGTCTTGAACAGTTGAATATCTTAATAAACTCAGAAAACAGAGTGGAAGAATGTCCCACTGTTATGGGATTCTGCGGACAGATGAAGAGGAATCGAATGATGTGCAAGCATTTTTACCTGGTGACAAAGACTGGAGGGCAGGTTGTACGAGGAAATTGACCAAGGACTGGGAGAGAAGTTTGGTGGTGAGTTAACTCATAAATCATGTAGCTTCAGGGTAAATCATCAGAGTGCTTTTCAATCTTGTCTGTAGTATCGTGGAGATTCAATGACTCATAAATTAGCTTCAGGGTAAATCATCAGAGTGCTTTTCAATCTTGTCTGTAGTATCGTGGAGATTCAATGCAGTTATGGGGAACTGGCGGGAAACCCCATCCTAAAAATAGTTGCCAAATAGGCTGCTCAGCAAGGAAATAAACCATCAATCTCTTGAGATTGTCCAAGAATTATTTACTCAATAGAACAGACAACTAGGTAGGTAGGAGGACGAGATGTTTGAATCCAGTCTCAATTTAATTACAGTAATACTCAGCCATTCATGACCAAACCAGAAGGTCGCAGGTTTGAATCATTCTAGAGATTTGTGAGGTGCGCATTGCTGGCGAATTCTAACAAGGATGAAATATCTCTACAATGCGTGTAGGCCTGCCAGCACGGGTTGACCTCATTTCGAATGCAAGGTGATAAAATCCATTCTATAGAAAGAATAGAAGAGCCTCAGGTAACAACTCAGCCAAACATTGATCCAACCACCGGTATGTAAATGTCTATCTGTGCGATATAAATTGTCTGCGCCACGACTCTGTTTTTGTTGTGTGCTGTGAAATTAATATTCCAATTTCCAATAAAGTGAGGCCGACGGTTAAAATAAAAGGAGATAAACTCGATCGGTAGAAATGCCGCTAAAACATTATCTCTTATGTTGGTTGGGATTGGGTAGCTGGATTCCGTCCAATTGAAATCACAGCTAGTGCACACAGTTCTGACCTGTTCGGTTTTCAGTGCTTAAGGAGCGGCTGCAATAATATACGCTCTCTGGAGGCATCTGACTGCGTTCCGCAGTGGGATGAGCATTTAGATTTTCCTTATGTTTACCATCGTTATGGGCGAGAAGTGTTTTGGCCTCAAAATAGTTTATTATGACAGGATAATACGTGTGGAGGGTGTTAATGAACACTGTCCCAAGGGCTCGTTCGGATCCGGCTGGTTGATGACGCGTGTGCGTCCCAAAATGTTCGGTGCATGTGTAACGGTTACCCTTCTGCTTGATTATTCCTCTAATCAGTTTCACACCGGCGCCTACTGCCCCCATTCCGTTTTGTCTGTCTCACAATCACGCGTGAACACGTGTCATGTCAGCTCCCGTTCCATGACCTTTTGAAGAACGCCAGGTGATTTCACACTATTGTTTTCACTTTCCACGCATTGCAACGACATATACATAAGGACAGAACACAGTCAATTACACAAACACGCATCACGCGCACGTCAGAGCACAGACCGGCTCAACACACCAAAAACTGCGGACAAACAGGAACGTGTAACAGTGTATCCGCCAAACAAACTCGGAGCAACTATTACAACTTACACTCAGAACGACAAATCCTCCGTTTGAACCTTTGTATTTTTGGTATTGTATTTGACTTGATTAAGGTGCACCTAGTTATTGTAACCTCACGCTCTCAAAACACAGGCTTTATTAGTGTCTCTTGCCTTCTGATTTATCAAGTGATTTTGTTGTTAACAAAAGAGAACAATAATACATACAAACGCAGTGCTTCCATATAGTATTCCAGTGACTGGGTATACTGCCGCGGATTTGCAGCGCATCCATCCTGCTTATGCTTATGCGTGTGAATTCCCGCTCACTTTATATCAACTCATGAACCAACAGAAGTAGAAGTTGGCGTGGACGCAAGAAATGAACGTCTAGAGTACCGCATAGGGAAGCGCCACGGACAAGAAGGCGCTTCCTTATTAATTATAATTGGAGTCAATCAGAATCAAGTCCCCTTAGCGGGGCTCTTCCCCATCTCCAGGATTCTGGCGTGGACTTGCTGATAACGGGCTTCATGAATACCTCGCTTTTTGTCCTGACAGACCTACTCAGGTTACTGCGGGCCAGTAAGTAGTATGATGTTTGATGGGGAAGTCAGTGAATAATAAGTAATTAATTTATCATAACTACATGTGTGAACTTTTCATTCACAGTTAGCTGTTAACGTTGTATCGTAATCAAGAAAAGGTACACATCAAGTAGAAGGTAACTCATAACTGCAGTAATAAAGAAGCATAACTTACTTCTTGTAAAATAAGTCAAAGAACCCAGTCGCTGCCAAACTCACTGACCTGAATGCTCACTTATACTTTTCTCTGCCCCATTTTGTCTCATAGTTTACAGAAGAGTAACCTTTTCTGCTACACCATTCAGAAAGGAACTGGTAAATTACAGCCGACACATGAAATTAAAATCGGCGAGCTGATAAATCACAGCATTTTTCGAGGGGATTCAGCCCAAAAAACTCGTTTATGGTCAGCTGAAAATGAAGTCACACACACTGTTTCATTATGGGGAGTGTCACAACCAAGCAAGCCATTATTGTCGCAAAGCACAGACGACCCTGAAAATGAGGGCGGCGATCATCTGACCTTAGAATTCCGTCTCACACATGTACATGTGCTGCTGTAAACACAAACAATACCGCACAGTGATATCGTCGCTGACAGTGTACCAAATGGCATAAGCTCATGTGAGAGTCACAAAATTGAAAGTTAGATTTGGTAAAGAGGAGCAAACGGAGGACAGTGGCTTACAAACCAGAAATACTAACCAGTGGAGATGCCGTGACTAGTTTCCGTCTCACAATAGAAGTACAAAGTTCCTGACTTTACTGATTCGGACATGAACTTGGGTTTCAAAATTCACATACTGTACAGAAGGCGGGCACTATGTGGACAAAATTTTATAGTTAAACCACTGCAGGTCATCTGAATGCCACTCAATGGCTTTCATTCTGTCTTGATCTCATCGTCATCATAACGGTAAGAACCACGTGCTTGTCGTACAGCGATTTTAGCTGTCACAATTTCGTCTATCGATGATTTGTGGACTGGGGTGGGTAGCTACGCATTGGAGGTGGGAGCTGATGAATCGCTGCGTAAATACAGGTCTGTCAGTGGACTTTTAAGTTGGTGGGGGGGTGGTTGAGAATGGAGCTATGTACTGAAGGCAATAGCTTGGATGCACGAGCGCCATTGAGGGCGCGACTGGAACATGTCTGACAATGTCTCCAATCATTGATGTGGTGTCTCCAACGAGGAAGACAGCAATGATCAGCGCTGCTGAGTTAGCTGTTAATGAATTTCACACTTCGGTGCCAAATCACTTGGACCTCCCCTGGAGCGTTTCCACCTTTCTCGTGGTTCTGCAAAATGAAACCTTCGAGGAAGTCGGTTGACTGGCTCACTGAGCACGTGGCCAAGCCAGCGCAACCTATGCAATGTGATCGGTTCATCTGTCGTTGGCGAGTTATTTTTCCGGATACCATTCTAGGTATTTCAGCATTGCTGGTCCGCTGTTCCCACCAGACTCGGACAATGCTCTGAAGATATTGTTGCTCAAACACTGAAACTCTTTTGACTTCCTCGGCGGGCAGCGGCCAGCTTTCTGACCCGTAAAACAATATGGATCGTACCGCAGTATTGTAAACTCGACCCTTGGCGGAAAAGTTGGTGTCACGCCTACGCCACAGGTGACGCAGGTTCCCAAAAGCTGCTCTAGTCTTCCCAATTGGATATATTATCTTTCACGACACCACCGGGATTGATATAGCTGCCCAGGTAGGAATGTTTGCCTACCACCTCAAGCAGCTCATCCGCAAATATGAGGTTGGGGTTCTAGCCCACCCCTCTTGCAGCAGCACTTTACACTTTGCAGATGTGAAGCGCACACCATGAGACACAATTATTTAGACTATTTAATATTTTTTGCCTGCAGATCCAAGCGAGCTATGTCGGCCTGCGTCCCGATTTCTGTGACGGGACGCTTTGGAGACCGTCGACATCACAGCTTGATCTCAGTCCTCTTGGCAATCTGGATTTTGTCCAACTGCAACTGGAATTGCAACCTTTGGAACACGTAAGAGCTGTTCGCTTCACGCTCGAAAACTTGTACCAACATCGAAAGCTATGAAGAGTCTACATGTCGTAGCAGACACACCCTGCCTTCTTCCCCCACGCCTATGCAGCTCCGACAGGGCTTTCGGTACATACAAAACGATAGTGTGTGAAATCTCTGGCGGTTTACAATTTAAGTCAGCCGGAACGGTAGCCAATATATGTCCGCTATTTCTTCACTCAAATCTGCCTACCTCAAATGAACACCTTTCGCAGTTAGATAAACTCCATTTTCACGAGCTACCATCAGTTCTACTCATGAGGTTCCTTGTTACGTCACACAGCGTAACGAAAATGACTAGTCACCGGCCGTAATAGGGCGATGAACAGAAAGATTGATCTATCTGGCTTCCTGTACGTAACTGTATTAGCTGGAATGGGGAGTCTACGGAAGCTGAACGTATGGTAGAGCGTAGCATCACCCTCAACCTACACACGTGACCATAGCCCCTCGATAATTCACTTTAGACGATAGGTGTCAGTTGGACTTCGCGTTTGTTTTTGTGATTACGCTTATTACACCCATCAAGAACTTTAATCAGTTTTAGAACTTTCGATGGTTAATTTCCTCAGAAAGACGAGTTGTTGAACCATCGTTGTTTAACCGAAATAAACACCCCTTCGATTCGACCTCACTCGTTATGAATTCCATGCGGATGTTCTCACAAAACACTTTTATATGTACAATTTGACTTCAAAGTTTATTGCATGACAATAGAAAAGGTTTAAGTATATGAGCAGCCGTTACTCGTTCACACAAGATTAAGCGTGCCCGAGTTAAAAAGACTTAGATAAGATAGCTTAACGAAGAATCCAGCAATATACCACAATCGAATATTTGCTCCGTAATTCGCACACAGCTGCACTCCACTTTGACATGTGATAATTTCCATTAGAACAGTACAGTCAGAGTACTTGAGCGGAATTCTCTCTCGATAAGAATAATGTACGATGTAATGCCGAGAATTACCATACAGTCGTTTCTTCCTGATTGGGAATCAGCAGCAGGGCGCAGCGTACAGAACTCTATGGAGTCTCGAAACAGCAACCTTATGGCTTATGGTTTGAACACTTCATCTTTCGGTCACGAGCAGCTGATTAGCACCGATCGACTCGCAATTAAACAGAGTATAGCGCCACTCTTCATTTACTCCCAGGGTCTACATCAAGTAGTTACACGCCTCGGCTCGCTCGTTGAGCGTTAACTCCTCAGATGGGATTTTCACTTATCGATTGTTGATGGCATGAAGAGATTTGGAAATCTTTAATGGAAACTTCAACCTGTAAGTGAAATCAGCCTATACTGAAAAGCCGAGAGGCACTGTGCAGGTAATTCATCCACAATAAAATTCGTCAGCGTTGCGTATATCATGACGACTCAGCACGACGAGTCAAATCTGCGACCTTTTAGCTATTACCTGAATACCAAACTATTGAGCAGCGTGATTTACTCTCATTTCAATCACGGAGCCATTCAACAATATACCACGTGATGTGGGTGGAGCTATATCATGCTCAGGTGCGAGTACCAATAAGCCACTCGTGTTCAAACTACTAGCCTGAAAGTGAAGGGTTTCGAGACTTCCAACTGAATTCCCATGGAATGCGCACTACTCATTATAGCCGATATCGATGAAACAAATGTACATTACATCTCTGCTTCTCAGCATAGATTAGCTTTACCTACGGGAGCAAATCTCCATTAAAAATTCCAAAATCTCCTCAAACTACAACAGACTAGAAACGTTCCTTCCGGTTTGGATTTATTCAGTTGATTGTTGGTTATATGTCAAAATCACTGGCCACACTTGGATTTTCCGCTATTCAAGTTGTTTTGCCGAAATCGCCTAGCGTAATCATTCCCCGCTTATGTTCAATGACAGTGAACCCCTCTAAAAGTTATCTCGTTTCACTCTGTCCTTGTGTTCGTCAGAAATTCAGCCGAAAAGTATACGGATAAACTTCACAAGCAACCACGAAAAGTTATTTGGCGAACTATTTTTTTCAGCTGATTAGTCTTAGTATCGGTTATTCGATCCACGTAGATGAACAGTGCGTCCACCGGAAGTGAGGAGGCTTAAAGTTGGATTTATCTGGCTCAATAGTACCATCTGAATTAGGTGAAACCAGATCTTAACAGGATTTTGTGAAGTTGCACCCTATGGTAGCAAAACAGCGGATATAACGGAAAGGTCGTCATAGGTGCAACCCATAGTATACATAATATGAAAGAATACCATCAGGTTACATTCAGGTTTTCTTTTTTCTCCCGGGTTTCTGGCCGGAAAAGTCCTTTCACATATTGATTAGAAAAAAGAGGCGTTATCGTCCAATTTGACCATTTTGCTTGTGTTTGTACGTGGGTAATACAGGTAGACCCTGTTTAAGCATGCTCTCAATGGAAGCTGTCTCGTGAAATTGGACAAAAGGAATTGTTCTCTCAGAGGATTTCGTTCTAGATGCCCTAAATCAATCAAAATGAATTCTACATGCTCAAAGTTGTTTCTAATGTTCTCTTCCACCCATCTAGTCATTTTATAGAGGATAGCCGTTAGGACATGGTTTTATATAGGGACATGATTTAGTGATGAGTTATCGTTCTTTTTACGCCTGTTGCGGTCATATGCGGCCATCGACAGCATACTAAGATCTTAATTAAATACCTTACCTACCATGAGGTTTAGTTTAGCATGTCGTCTTATGGATACACCGTGTATCCATCACTGCACTACCATCAGATACTGTCTTTTCACCACCACTGAAATGAAGAGCACGAACTTGTCCATTGACCAACATGAACCAAACGACTACAAGCTTTTATACACCGAAATAGAAACCGCTTTTGCTTTCAAGCGTCCTCTTAAAATTTCCTGGATGCCTTTCAAATGGTAAACAATGATGGACAAACCTTGCATCAAATACAGTGACCGTACTTTGACGATTGACCGGACACCATTTGCCGTGTACGTCGTTACACCATGAGTAACCGTTTGAAATGTTGAAAAAGCGCGTTTGATCGATCGCCGTCTCACTACCTTGTCCAGAAAGCAACCGTAGTTTGTGCGAATATCGACCACCGGAGTGAGCAAGGTGCTTGGGCATTCCAACCAGTCCACCAAGCACATGGTTTCTTTTGAATGTTGATAACGCCTTTGGAAATGAAGGCTACTGGTGTAGAGGAAGCTCAAAGGAAAATCGCTGATAGTGTGTAGAGGCCACCAGAATTGAGTCGCAGTTCCTGACAAATTGATCCTTATTCTGTACAGCGAATTCCCATTGGTTAACCAAAACCTTGCTGTTCGTAAGGTTTTCCAGTGTGTTTGAATGGTATTGACTGCAAAATTACATAGGGACGACCCTGTGCTTCTCGATTCATAGCCAAATACCCCATGAGGCTCATGACTCATTCGGGTTTAGAATGAAAGGGCATCATTTCTCGACCCATTGTTTCGTTTAATCTGCTGCTTACTACAGGTCCGCCGATGTTTGACAAAATGCACGTAGGTTGTCTCTCTTCCATGCACAGAAGCCACCAAAGGGAATCCTTCGGTTGGTATACTTTATCGTATGACAACAAGAATATGCGGCTACGCGACTACAGGCGGAGTTAACATACACGACAACGTGCGTAAACCAAATTCTAATATCCTGTGCAAATGTTTTCCTATACTAAAAGGGTGAATTGATTGGTATCGCTTACAAATGAAACCTATCGGTGGATTGTGTACTACGTGAAAATTTCTTTTCGTCCACAAAAGCGCCGGGAACGAGGGACAGCACTGAAGGGAACCGCAAATAATGATCGCTGAAAATATACTATTCATGAGTGGTATGCCAGATTCACACAAATTCCTTGGGTGTGTCAATGACCCAAAAGCATGAAAAAGCAAAATAATACAGGAGATAGCCAGCAGTGAATCCAAAATTCATCAACTTTCATTTCTCAAGTTAAACTGCCACAAACATTATTCACGCAAAAGAATATCAGAGACCCGTCAGAAAAAATATAGGGTAATCCAGCGGGGCACCAAAGTTGCGCCCCACGATTTGTGCGAAACAAGCATATTGGCTCGATCCAGCCAATCGCAAAAGCCCGCCGCCCCTGGGTGGGCTCGAACCACCAACCTTTCGGTTAACAGCCGAACGCGCTAACCTATTGCGCCACAAGGGCTGGAAGTCGCCTCTTGTAGAGTATCTGTGGAGAATAAGGCCACCTTACATGGTGCAACATTGTGTATCATTGTGGCCTTCTGAGGAATACTGTAGGTTCGTCAAATACTCTCATCTGCACATTAATTTGGTGTTGATCGGAGACTTGACTAAATCTCTCATTTTCTATTATAGTCTTTTTCAACCGAATATGCTCCACAAGTCTATCTCATATTTCGATTGCAACGATGTTTAAGGTACATTACACTGTCTACAACGTGATGAGGCAATACATTGTCTAGGCGTAACACACTACTCGTAAGGAAAGCATTCGAGAGCTCACGACAGGCTATGCCCTTCTTCTTGGGCCTCATCAGGTAGCCGCAGTCCCCGAGTTTCCATCGGTCATATGTTCAACTTAAATTCAAAACTGGACGGAATTCGTCACCACTCTAATTTGGTGTTAACCGGATACTCAACTGAATCCAGCTGAATCTCGCTTTTTCTCGTATTACAGTTGCCCATACCAAGTTGATCAATGGGTAGAGGTCAAGCAAACTGTCTCCTGGCCCTCTAGTTTAGGGGTGGAAGGTGTGAACATCAATAATTTCATTCCACATCGATCGTCGCGTAGTGCAGCCGCCTCTTATTTTGCATACAATAGGAAGGGCAAGCGGAATCAGGCTACAACTGAGATGGCCTTTGTGCAGCACAGTTGAAGCATATCGTAAACGAGAGATTCAGTTGAAGAATTTCGTAAACCAGAGCTTCACTTGAGTATCCTGTGAAAACCGAATTGATTGTTAAATGAGT